GCTGGTGCGGGATCAGGCAGTGTTTTGTTCTGCTGTGCATGGGGTCACTATGAGTCGGAAACGACTCGATGGCACCTAACAACAACAACAACAACATGGCTATTCTGTTGGTAAAACTTGTATAACATTAAGTTTGTGAATTTGATTCCTTGGATAAAAAAAGCTATCCATATCAAATTGTAGCATATTTGACAATTTCCTGCTTAATGTGAGAAAAGTACAATTTAATGCTCTAATAATAAAATTGAAGTTAATTAATTCATTTGGCAAGAAGTTATTGAGCATCTGAATTTGGTTCTAGGTACTTAAATATAGCAGAAGACAAGACAAACAGGGTCCCATTCTTGTGGAGGTAACAAGGTCAGTAACATAAACAAGTAAACACACAAAGCAATTTCAGACAAATCTATAAAAGAAATAAAATAGAGTAACTTCAAACAAGTACTTTTTCTAGATTAGGTCCTCTGAGGAAGATACTTGAGCAAAGACAATTAAAGACAATTTAAAGGATAAGGGGATGTGACTGATTTGAAGAATTGGGGGAAGAACATTTCAGGCAGAGAAAACAGCAAATGCAATGCAAGAATGAGCTCAAGAGTGGTGTTTAGAAATTCTACTGAGATATCAAGTGAGTGGCTAGATATTCAAATCTGCAGTTCAGTGGGAAAAACTTACACAAAGATTGAGTTTTGGAAGTCATTGGCAAATCAGAAAGCATTTAAAGCAATGGGGCTAGATATAATAATACTGGGGTAAGGATGTATAACAGAACAGAAAAGAGGGTTTAAAATTGAAACCAGGAGTACATCAATATTTTGTGGGTAGAAAGAGTTGGAGAACACAGTAAATAATTCAAAGCACTAGCTGTCAGTGAACAAAAGGAAAACTAGGAAAGGAAAGCATCAGTGAAATTAACCCAAGAGGTTGTTTTAAGATGTGAATGGTCAGCTATACCTAAGGCAGCTGGGATATCAAGTAAGATAAAAGAGAGAGAAATGACCATTGGATTTTGCCTTTAATGATCTTTCAAGAAGAGTTTCAATGCCATGAAAGGAAAGGGAGAAAAACTGGAGTAGGTTGAAGAGTGAATGGTAGAGGACTTCTGGTTTCAAATAATTTCCATGCCCCTTCCTAAGGCATACGACTGCTAACCAGAAGGTTGGTGGTTCAAACCCACCAGCTGCTCTGTGGAAGGAAGATGGGGCAATCTACTTCCATAAAGATTTACTGACATGGAAACCCAGCAGGGTCACCATGAGTTGGAATCAACTTGATGGCAATGGGTTTGTTCTATAAAAATAGTACAAAACAACAAAGAAAAGAAAAATAGAAGCAAATGCTATGTTCTGTGAAACTATAAAACGTGTAATTCTGAATCATAAGAACAAACATGGAACATATATTGATGAATTAGATATCATTTAGCATATGGGAAGGATAAATCCAGATGCTCAGGTTCCCATGGGACTCAGAGAGGCTCAGGGAGGAGAGGCACCAGGTACTGTGGAAGGCAGGAGTTAAGTGGAGGAGTACTTAAGTCTGTATGAGAAGTAACCCTAGGACTTCCAGTAAGATGATGAAATAGGCAGACAAGCTATGAAGACCTTCTTCTACAAAAAAAAAGAGAAACCAACTGACACAGATACAGATGATAATCATGGAACCCTGAGCTTTGAAAGGAATGATACAGAAGCACCAACTAATAGAATAAACCATGAAAACAGTGAATAAGAAGACAAATGGAGCTGTGGACTGTTAGCTATCTTGATGGCACAGACATTCTGAATATTTCCAAGTGGTGTTAGGATCTGAGAATTAACCTAAAAATCAGCCCTGCTCAGCAAGGGCTGCATGGATGACTGTACTGGTGGCAGATAACTGAAAAGTGAAACAGTGAAAAAGGAGACAAACTGAGCTGTGGACTTTCATCTTTCCAGAGGGCACAGCCATTTTGAATGTTTACAAGTAGTGGCCATTTTGGATATTTAAAATGAGAGCATTCTCGTTCAGATTCCGGGAACCTAAGAATAGGATCTGTTTGCCGAGGACAGCATGGACATACCAGAGGCTGACGACTGGAAAGGTGCAATATTCCCCTTGTTACTCTTACACCCTACACCCTCTTGGTGACCGGAGGTGCAGCCATCCCTCGCTTCTACCCATCTTCTGGGCTGGCAGGAATTCCATCCCAGTCTGTGTGCCCTGGTGGAGCCTGAGTGCCCTGCCCTGCCCTCCCCCAGATTGTTTGCTTGTTTGTTTTCAAATAATTCCTTTTTTTTTCCTTCCTTTTTATTTTTATTCTTTCTTTTTTCCCATCCTAGGGTCTAGCTGTGGACTTTTTTTCCCCTTCTCTTTTCCTGGTTCCCATTTTTTTCTTTCTTGTGGCTCTTCCCATCGCTTCTTTTTCTTTTTACATTTGTCCCCTCATTATTCTCTTACTCTAGCTCTTTTCTCTTATTCCTCCCTCTCCAGATATTATAGGGTTTTCCCCTCTTTTTCTATTTATATTACTTTTGTCTTTTTAAAGTATTTATTTAAATATTTTGTCTCATTGATTGCCTTTCCTTTTTTTTTTTTTTCATTCTCTCTTTTTGGTGA